TTATGAGCTCCTGTGGGAGATGCCAGCCTCGGCCGGCCCCAATGAGTCGGCGGGAGGAAGAGGATGTGCTGCTCAGAGCATGCAGGAACCCTGGCAGGGGGAAGCAGGATGAGGGCAGGCGTCCATGCCCATGTGGTCGGGGCTGAGGCAGCGTGTTCCCCGCCGGCCTCGCACTTCCACGCCGGGAACCGGGAGCGGAGCGCACCGGCTCCGCCTGGGACCCTTCCAGTGCTGGTTCTCGCTGCGGCACCTGGAGCGTGGGGCGGTGATGGTGGGGGCGGAGGGCAGCCAGCCCCTCATCTCACCGCTCCGGCGGCAGCTTTGTCAGCGGAGAGCAGTACGGAAATGCACGCTGAGCAATTTCCTTCAGCTGGGAGGAAGGCAGGAGGCCGAATGTGAAGCGAGGCACCGTGTCTTGTTTGTGTGTCCTCAAGTCTGGCTCGGGCTGGGAAGTGGAGGAGACACGGGAGACACGGCATCCTCCCTGCCTGTCTCCTGTGGAGGTGATGCTCTCGGAGCATCCTTCTCAGGATGGGGACCGGCTTGTTTTCTTCCTCAGGGACGTGGGACCCAGCACAGTTCGACAATAGCTGAGCATCTCGGTCTTGCAGCACCACAGGAGTGCAGGGAAGGGAGGCAGGAGCCCCCGCTGGCTGGGGGGAGCTCTGCTCAGAGCTAGAGCGGAGAGATGGAGCAGCAGGAGAGGGAAATTCAGCTCGCTGTGCCCGACACTGAGCTTGCTGGCCTTCCAGGGGAGAGGGGATCACTTTGAGACCTTTGCCTGCACCAAAAAAAAAAAAAAAAACCTCCCGTTTATTCCCCTTTTCATTTTTCTTGGATCAAAGAAGCAGCGTCTCATGTCGCCGTCATGGGATTTTTAGGCGGTGACTAAAGGGAGTTTGTTTGGGAACAAACAGCTTGGAGACATGACGAATGGAGCAAACTCAAATTTCATGCGTGTGCTGTGCTCCCTGGGCAGGAGCTGGCTGTAACGGGATCGCCAGCCCGGAGCGCTGCCATGGTGGCAGGGGCAGTGNGTCCCGGTGCCACCTGCATCGCCCTGGTCCCCCGTGCTCTAGTCCCCCCGTGCCTCTGCTTTGTCTGAGTCTCCCCAGCCTGGCTTAGTCCTCACGCACCCACCAAATTCCCCTCCCTCCTCCCAGCCGGCCCCTTCCCAGCTGAAACCATCCACCCCTGCCCCAGATGCTGCCTGAGCACCAGCCCGGGAACACCCATGGGGGGCCCCCAAAATTCTGTCTCCCCTTTCCCTCCTCAGCCCCTCTCAGATACACCTAAAATCTCCTGCTTGCTGATTAGGCCATCCACCACGCCTGGGAGAGGCCCCATCTCCCATCCCCCATCCCTGAGGCTCCCAATCCAGGAGATTCACACTCCATGTCCTGGGTGGGCAGTGAGCTGTGCCCAAGCAGCCCAGAGAGGTGGGATGCTGGGCAGGGGGCAAGAAGGGACACTGGCAGAGTGCTCCATGGAGAGCCAGCTCTGAGCTGTGCCCCTGCAGGACAGGACAGGACAGGACACCTTAGCCAGAGTGAGACCTCTGGCTGGTAGTGCCTGTGGCATGGGCACTCTCAGGTGCTGAGTGCCAGCCTGAGCCCTCTGGCCAGGTAGGAATGGGCCACAGGACACTCCCCTGAGAGCCTCGGTGGCATCACCTTCTCTCATCTCTCTGCCTAGGTACAAATGTGCTGCAAATGTTTGCCAGCAGGAGCCGATGGCTGGGGAACGCAGGCTGGAGGCAGGAGCAAGGGGAAAGCTCCCTGCCCACCACTCCATCGCATCTGATCATTGTCATTGTCCAGGTAATCTGTCAAAAAGAAAGTAAAATGGGTTTTACACAAGCTTTGCTTGGCAGTTTGAGCTCAGTATGCCCCACTTCCAGAGTGGCACCACAACACCCCTGGATGCAGGAAGCTCATCCTGTGCTGCTTCCCCCCTGCTCCAGGAAGGGGAGATGCAGCCCAGCTGCCCATCTGTGCTGCTGTTCACCTGGGGTGACCCGACCCACCTGGTCCCCTGGAGCAGCCTGGAGCATCCGGGGGCATCTCAGTGATGCCCCACAGGGGCTGGAGCACCCCTAACGCCAGAGCAACCTGGGGTCTGGAGATCCTGGATACCGGGGCCCTGACGGAGGCCCCCAGAGCGTGGAGCATCCATCCTGGACACTCCTGATGCCAGAGCGTTCCAGTGGAGCCCTCCAGAGCCCGAACCATCCATCCTCGAGCACTCTGGTGCCAGAGCGTTCCAGTGGAGCCCCCCAGAGCCCGAACCATCCATCCTGGAGCACCCTGGTGCCAGAGCGTTCCAGTGGAGCCCCCCAGAGCCCGTTCCAGTG